TACTGTACCCTAGCGCGGCAAACTGTACTCTCTAGCGGACCAACTCCCCTGGCATGTTATCTCTCTATTTGGCCGATTTCTACTCTGTTCAGCCGCCTGCCGAAGCCTGGCAGGACTTAACATCACAGTCTTAGTCCTGGAACTGTGTTTGATCGCTTGATTTTTTTAGGGGGGAGGGGGGTGATCAAAGAACATTAATCTATTTTTTACAAGTAGATTAATGTTCGTCACGATGGTCAGATTTGGGCCCAAAAGTCCCACTCCGCTACTATGGAGATCGAATCCCCCGAACCCGCGAATCTTGTTCGATATGACGTCATTCGAATAGAACGGGCGTTCCATCCGGGGTTACCCGCGGTCATTTACAGTAAAGCCGCTACAACCGGCTACTTCAAGCCCTTTTTTACTTGGGAACCACGGAACAGGAAAAATCCACCTTTCCACAAATATGAACCGTTTTCAAAACATTACATCTATGCCGTGATTTTATTGTGGATATGTAACATGTAACGAAGCTACTGCCGTCATCGTGGGTGACCTTGAAGGTCAGAATTCTTGTTGACACTGTTAAAAAATCCAGGTCCCCATATCCAAGTGGCACAGCATGCGTGCAAACATGGTATTTTAACCATTCCCAAAAATCGCTCAAATTACCTCATTGAGGGCTTGTTTGGAAGAGGAACGATTTTCGCAGATTTCTGTCTTAGGGATTTTTTAAATATGGCCGCGATTATGAATTATCGGTATTTAAAGTTAAAACACTGCGTTTTTAGCTCTTCTTTTGACTGTAAGTCTAGTTTTAGTTAAAAAATAAAAAAATCCTAAGACAGAAAGTTTAAATTTACTGTAATATTTCTAAAAATCCAAAAATCTAACCTTATTTTTAATTTTCGGGGCCTCTTAAAATCAGTTGTGTGGTTCTCGTGAACCCTTTTTGAAATCCGAAATTGATCTCATTTGGAAGCAAATGTACACAAAGTGGAGCAAAGGCAGTGCAAGAATAACATTTGAGGTAAACAAAATCACTTATTACATTTTATTTTGACGAGTATTTACTCTCCAATTACTTTTGTTTATTTTCAAATTTTACCCGTTGCCCCCGGGCCGGCCTGGGACTCCCGCGCGGCCACGTTCGAACACGTTCTGTAACCCGATACCTCCCTAGTAATGCGACTTTTAGCCTAGCAACCGACCGCCGTGCAGGCGTATAGGGCGCTGAATTTGTTTTACTTTTAAGATGAGGGGGTAAAAGTCACGACATCTTGAGTCTACGATAGAATTAATCAAAGTTGGTTTCTAGTTTCTCTTATGTGTTTACTCTGACGAAAGGCTTGTATCTTGAACCCAGCTTCACAGATGACAGAAACATAAGAAATCTATTTCTAGAAATAGATTTAAGTGTCGCTTTCCTAGGTCCTCCATTGAGGTCGAAGAAGCAGACAGTGACTACAAGGATGGACTTAGCAGTAATATATCTACATCAGGAGGACTAACAAACTCATCAGTGGAAAAGCCAAAAGCTATGGAAACAAGGTGTGTGCGAGAAACACATAACATAACATAACATAACATAACATAACATAACATAACATAACATAACATAACATAACATAACATAACATAACATAACATAACATAGCATAGCATAGCATAGCATAGCATAGCAAAGCATAGCATAGCATAACATTGCATAGCATGCATAGCATAGCATAGCATAGCATAGCATAACATAGCATAACATATACCATATAACATAACATAACATAGCATAGCATAGCATAGCATAGCATGCATAGCATAGCATAACATTGCATAGCATGCATAGCATAGCATAGCATAGCATAGCATAGCATAACATTGCATAGCATGCATAGCATAGCATAGCATAGCATAGCATAGCATAGCATAGCATAACATATACCATATAACATAACATAACATAACATAGCATAGCATAGCATAGCATAGCATAGCATGCATAGCATAGCATAGCATAGCATAACATAGCATAACATATACCATATAACATAACATAACATAACATAACATAACATAACATATATACCATATAACATAACATATCATATACCATATAACATAACATATCATATACCATATAACATAACATATTATAACAAAACATAACATAACATAACATATACCATATAACATAACATAACATATACCATATAACATATACAATATAACATAACATAACATAACATAACATGTACCATATAACGTATAACATATAACATATAACATTACATAATCCTAACACAACGTATGATTCTTTCGACTCTCAAGTCCATTACAGAAGTTCCATTCTTATGCTCGACACATACCGGAGGAGTCGGTTGCTAAGGAGAAGTTCCTTGCCGACCAGACAGCTGTGCAGTCTGTACCGACGGAAGCACCTGGATGGGTCTATAACAAAACATTTTCGGACCTGTTTCGGTAAGAATAATCGTCTCGATATTAGGCCATGTTGATTTGATTATATGGATGACATCCGCTTGAATTTTCGTCCGTTTCCAAAAAAAAGTTTTTGACCATACTGTAGGTCACACAAGGCACCTGCAAAATGAGAAAATATATGCCGTAAATTGCAAAAAAAATATTGTAAAACGATACTAATGTCGTTGAATGCAAAATCGATTACAAAGGAAAGAAAAAAATGCTCAGGGTTAAATAATAAATGCATTGCCATTGCATTGCATTGCTATGTAAGAATGAACAATTATACATATTGACAATGCGATTTACAAAATGCTGAACATACCACCGACAATTTGTAAATACGTTCAAAGCAGTATTTCATGACCAATGACATGTATTTTTAACAGGAAAAGACTTGTAGGCGACAGTCGCTTTGCGAACGGGAATTTTCTTGTAACACAACAGACAGTTAACATGTCCGGCCTAATGACACATGGTCGTGGAAAAATCAAGGTGCCAAAGAACGTCTTCAATGGATTTCCTAAAGTAAGTTTGGAGACTTGTTTTCCTTCTTTACATTCTATCTATCTATCTATCTACATGATACGGGACAAAGTGCCTCACGGCACATCACGTCCCGGGAAGGAGGTGCAGCTGGTGTGGCAGGTGGTGGTGCGCAACAAAAATATACAAACAAATGAAAAATGATCTATAAATAATAAATTGCAAAAAGAAGAAACCGAAATGTGCAACTATATACAAAAGCCACACCAGGAAACAAAAATAACCCTACAGCTGGGTATTGGCGGAGAGGCCAAGGTGACTGGCCAATCCCGCCTTAAACGCATCAAGGGATGTGCAAGATATGAGTGTACCTGGTAGTGTGTTCCACTCGATGACGGTTCGAGGGAGATAACTGGCTCTGTATGCTTCTGTCTTGCATGGGATGGTGATGAAGCGTGAGTAATGTCCTCTTGTAATGTTTGTGTTTTTGGTGAGAATGTTGTGTATAGGAATGGCTACCATGTTATTTACTGCTTTATACATTAGGACAAGTCTGGCTTGCTGCCTGCGTTGATGCAGGGAAGGCCATCCAAGTGTTCTCAGTGTATCTGACATGCTTGTTGTTGGTCTGTAATCTCCAGTAACGAACCTAGCGGCTCGCTTCTGTACTGCCTCTACTTTGTCTTCAAGTTTGTTTGTCTGTGCATGTAGTCGCTTGTGAGGGCCCCAAGCTGTCGAAGCATACTCCAGCTGGGGTCTTGAGGTGTATGCCTGGGCTCTGATTGCCCATTCTCCAAACATTCAAGGAAAATTTTGTATTCGCTTCGAGAAATAAAACCTGCAAAGAGGTACTTGGTCTTTCTTTGTTCAAGGTACTGGTTAGGATTAAACTTTCAATTCAAAATAAGAAACCCTAACACATTCCCTAGGATATTTACACTGGTTACAAGAACGAGTGTTGCCCTTGGGCAAAAGACTTATCTCATCATTCTAAATAGCACCTGGTTAAAGTTTGTACCGTCTCTGTTCAGTAAATTTTTATAAAGAACGCTGATCCATATACTATTAGATAGTCTCCGGCTTTCCAAAGCTCAATGTCAAAACTCCAGTCTAGTATCCAAACTACCGAGTCTCTTTCGCCCTCCCCCACGTTATGTAGAAGTGGGTAATCTTCAGGCAGATAATACGGTGGCATAGCAGTCTCCATTGGCCAATTGACCCCTACGGTGGCTAATGGACACTCCGCTGGCCAATGGATACTGCCTTGCCACCGCATGATCTGCTTGGAGATTAAAAATGGGAGCGTCAATTCGTCATAACGAAAGAGACATAATAAGGATAATATTAAGGATAATAATTTACAACTTTTCTACCCAGGAAAGCCCGTTTCAGAACAAACGCTTCGATACTTGCAGTGTGGTGGGAAACGGTGGAATACTGAAGGGAAGCGGCTGTGGAAAAAAGATAGACGCCTCTGAGTTTGTGTTCAGGTGAGGCACAATGATATGTACAAGTCGATTTACCAGAATATTTTGTTGAGAAATATCTTTAATAACTTTATCTATAGTTCTGTGCCCAGTGGGCCCCTTAAAAGGCCTTGATGTGAAGAGTGTTAGATGGTTGTGGTGACGATTTCCTTGCTTGAAATGTTAATTTTTTACATTTTTTAACAATCTGCTGTATAATGTTAATATATGAAGCAATGTAAGTTTTATTTCTTCTTTCTCATAACTTGCAGGTTCAACATGGCTCCAATGGGCGATAAATATTCCAGGGACATTGGAAATAAAACCAGCCTGATCACCATTAACCCCTCTATGATAGGCTACAGGTACGTTTCTATGTTTACCGAAGGAAAACATATTGTTTTTGCTCTGTTTCCTCTTCTTCTTCTTCTCCAAACAAATAAGGTCAATGACCTGAACCAGACGTCTGTCACCACGGTAACTAGTGTTGGGTTACATCATGTTGCAATTTTATAGCAGGAGGGATTTAGACTCCTGTCTGACCATTATATATGAATGTGTTTGAGTAAGAATGTACAGAGCAGACCATATGCAAAGGTAAACATTATGCATTTGATTTGCAAATGTTTGTTACCTTTCTAGTTTGATAGCAAATTCACTTGATTTTTTATGAAATTCAAATGTGGTTAGTGTATATTGTGAGCTTTGTACATGTGCATGTGAAAGATGACATCCTTAGCATAACTTGCCCTCTGTTATTTCATGTAGATACACCAAGGGCAAAAGAAAAGGAATAGACGTTAAATCCTTCACGCATGACCTATCAGTGTACGGAGACAGCTACCTCTGGATCTGGGCCTTTCTGTCCAAACGTCACGCTAGCGGCGCCTTCAAAGTGCAGGAAGCTCTACGGGCAACCGGCGCCCGTAACCAGGTTATCTTCCCGTATCCACTCGTGACAGGAGCACTTATATCATTTTGGAAAAAGCATATATCCGCTCAAAGGCCATCCACAGGTAGACATCATAAGCTCTGCTATGAACTTTCATGATGCAATGATTAAATTTGAATATGAATTTTCCTCATTTCCGTTGTCTTACTAGCATTTCATCTATATCTGTTTTTATTTGTATTATCTCACGTGCTATTTTTTGGTGCCATTCATGTCTACGAATTTTTGTTTCATTCTATTTCTTCTTTCTTTCTTTTCTTGATTATAGGACTGTTGCTGGTGAGTTTGGCCACACAGATGTGTGAGGAGGTGCGCCTGTACGGCTTCTGGCCCTTCCACGCCGACAGGAACAATCAACGTCTGAACGAGCACTACTATGACAATGCCCTTCCCACAAAAGTTCACAAAATACCGAGTGAGTTCAGACAACTACAGTTACTACACAACACTGGAGTTGTTCGTCTAACAACCCACCCATGTCAATAAGTGGACATTGTCAATAATTTAATACATACTAGTACTAGCAGTAGACAGTTGAACTTTGTTCTAAATTACTTATGGCATTTTGGCCAACTAGTCTCTACTGTTATATTTTTAATGACGATTTACCACATTTGTGGAAGGATTGACATAACAGGTGAGTATCACCTCATCAAAGATGTTAACCCCGAGACCAGACTGTAAGGTTTGAACCACTCACACCGGGAAGGTCCCCTACTCTTTTCGATAAGTGCGGTGGGTTCTTTAACGTGCGTGGGGTGTGGCTCTCCCAAACACGTACGGAACCTCTATCCGAGGGACGTCCCTAATGCTTAGGTCACATTTGAAACGGCGCCCGTTCGGCATGTCCTCGGCGTAGACGCCGGCCGGCGTCATGACGCCGAGCGTGCGCCGTTTTGTCAGGGTCACAATTAAATGTTCCTTTACGGCTCCCTGTCGGGGCCTGCTTGTGCTCCGGCCGGCGGCTCTCATTAATATTCATAAACTTTTGCGGCCGGTTTCTGTCAGGGACCCGTCCGGTGCCCGGTCAGTCGCCCGTCTTGACCCGTGCGGCGTGTGGTAGGGTGCCGACCGGCTCTTACAGTTCGGCCGGGCAGCTGTCAGGTCCCTGGCGGGTTCCTGGCGGGATCCCGACGGGCTCCTCTCGTGTTTTTGAGCAGGTACATATATAAGCGCTGCACTGCCTGCTACCGTTCACTTCAAGTAAAGAGTACACGTCAAGTAAAGATCTAGAGTAGACTGAAGTTGGCGATGCAGCGTTCAGTACAACCTGCAAACAACTTACAAGCCCGTCTGAGATTGAGATTGGTGACAACCTACATGTAGGTCTTCTGGCATTTGTAGCTGAAGAAGAGAGGCAGGCAGAACTGGTGCGTCGCAAAAGTAACCGAGGGCCTACTTTCGAAAGTACTTCAACAGTGACGCAGGAAGTACTTCAGCAGTGACGCAGGAAGTGTGCCGTGGCAGCTCCTTGCTATTGAGCAATAAAACCACTGAATATCGTTACTTCTGTTGAAATTTGGACTGAAAATAAATGCCAATAACTTCTGATTCCATTTTATTACGAAGGCATATGATGTAACAAGAGATAATGTCAGACACATTCTATTCCTGTTATGATCTGTTTTATGAAGTTGGCAAGAGAGCCGTGCCGGCTGTTTTCCCTTGCCCTTCGACATTCTGACACACAAATACAAGGTGTAACACACACAAGTACACGATGTAACACACACGTGGTGAACTGTGCGACGTAGTCTGAGGTAGGAGTTTAAATATGCTCCCTATAACCCCCTTTTCCTGACCATCTGATGCACTGATCAGCACATGTGACGTCATAATCTTAGGCAGGTGCCTGTTCGGCCGCCCGACGGGACTCGGGCAGTGAGGTTACGGCGTCGCTTCGGCGTATTTCGCCGAACGGGGCCCGAAGTGTTTTTAACTCTGAGTTAAAATCGATTTGGCGACCGCGCGGGGCCAAAAATAGGCCGGCAGCCGTCGGGAAGCCCGCCGGTCTCCGTCCAGGTCCCGTTCGGTAGTGCCAAAAAACACGCCGAACACGCGCCGAGCGGGCCCCTTTCTTGAATTGTGACCTAAGCATAACCGAAGCTAGGTACTCATTTACACCTGAGTGAAGTGAGGAAAGTCGTGCAAAGTGCCTTTCCCAAGGGCACAAGATCGGTGACACGGGTGGGGTTCGATCCCACGACATCTGGGGTGTGAGACGAACGCGCTACCGATTGCGCCACACGACCCCACACATCTAAACCCCACGTTATCTAAACGTTACCTATCTGTTGATTTTAATTAATTAATTAATTAATTAATTTTGTTAATTTTATCAATGAACACTAATAAACATTTTTTGTACATTTTGCAGTGTACAATAAAACTTTGTCTATTGCCAATGTGTTAAGCTTTCAATGAATAGATAGGGGCACTGAAGTTCTTGACTAATTTTATAAGGTTATTGAATTGATAGGTTCTCCGTTATTTTTGTCTCGATTCGATCGAATACACGACAGGCTAATCTCCAAGCAGATCATACGGTGGCAAGGCAGTATCCATTGGCCAGAGGAGTGTCCATTAGCCACCGAAGATCTGCCTGCACTCGCACAGGGAGGAGCACTTCCTTTCAAAAATGGTGTTGCTGCCCCTCCTTGTGCCCCTATTTACAGCAATTGAAAAACTGGCCACGCTAAGGTTTTTACAAGCGGTTTATAGCTTGAATCTGGGACAAATTCAGTCACCCGCGCACATCTCAGTGGGAGTTCCCCGCCTAACTGAATCAGATACAATTCTGTATGCTGGCACTGTGATGCTTTCTGAAACATGGAAATAGATACTTATGGTTAAAATTTAAAACCCCATGCCAGACATTACAAAACACAAGGTGAACCTTCTCCTCCGGATCCATTGTTTAAACTGCCCAATACATGTATAACAGTTGGTGTTGTGACCCATAGACAGACTTCCTGTAACGGTCAACCATGCAGCCCCACAAGGAGGACAATAGCCTTGCCCGGTTGTTAGGGCAATAAACTACTTGGCAAACACATTCTGAGTAGGCAACAACTAGGTGTTAATAGCCTTTGACGTTTCGACTGCAGGCAGATCTTCGGTGGCTAATGGACACTCCTCTGGCCAATGGATACTGCCTTGCCACCGTATGATCTGCTTGGAGATTACGACAGGCCTCAATATTGTACCCTAACGAAAGGCACGATTTCAGTACAAAAACCTCACATAGCGCAGACGTGATAGGAGTTTTTCTCACACACAAAGTCCTACGTTACCTTAGTTACTGGTAACACCAGTTATGCTCAGGCGAATGATCACACATGGTCAGGTAGCTTCCAAGTCATTCGGCATCGAAAGTTGTCGGACGAGGTGCAATAACATTATATACACCAGGCGGCGCTGCTGCACTATTTGTTTCGTCAGCTGGGAAAGTTTGGGTCGTCTACAGGTTACCGACTGCGCCACGATCACGCGTCTTCCTTCTTGCCAGTCACAGTGTTCTGGGTACCACCAGCGTACAGCTACTTTAAGTTTATATGGGGTTGTGAATCTAAACCTTCTAAAGTTTAACCCTATCTAGACGGGGGGGGGGGGAG